GATTTGATTTCCCTGGAGTTCTGCTTTATATGAAGTTACACTGTGTTTTTACATTTACTTCTTAAGAGGCCCCAGGGCCATTGAGCAGTCCACCTGCTTGCTTGCACCCTTGGATTATCTCCAGAGCACACCACAAACTGGGCCACTCTGTAAGGCTACTGAAACTTGCCAGGTCAGAGCATTGGCGTTCTTCCTCTTACTCCTGCACCTTCCTATTGGCTCTATGGGCCAATAGAAAGCTGTGGGGGCAGAAGGAGGCAGGCCAGAGATTATTCACCAAAGCCATGGTCAATATTTAAAGGGTGCTATGAAGATAAGGCTTCATTCACTCTGCACTAACTCGGGGAGTACACGTCCATGTGGCGTGCACACCCGTATCAAGCCGTTCCTGGGAGGGACAGGTGATCTGTGTAGCAGCCTGTTCTTCCCTATGGAATCTATCGTGTCTGTGTCCGATTATGGACACCCAGACCCACACGGATGTGCAGTTCGGGTGTGCGGTTGACAGCGTATGGCCACGTTCTCCCATAGCGAAGAACAAGCTGCTACACGCAGCACCTGTCCCTCCTGGGAATGGCCTGATATGGACGTGCATGCCGCATGGACGTGTACACCTCGAATTAGCGCATGTTGAATGGGGCCTAAATGTAGGATTTGCACAGAAACCTGGAAGTGTAAATGGATTGCCAGCACTCATCAGTCTTCTCCAAAGGTTTATTATAGCAACATTGTAATACGGGAGAGCAGAAAAGTCTGATACATTTCACACCATGACCCACCTCTTAGCTATGATGACTAAAAGCTGAGTTGCAGTTTTAAAACACGTCTGCTTTTTTGCTTTGTCATGTGATTATTGTTATGCCACTATGATACGCCTTTGGAAAAGATTGGTGAGTGCTGGTATCCATTTACACTGTTGTATGCTGTCTTAAGGCCGTGTGGTTGCACTTTCTTGCAGGATTCTTAGCTGGACAATGAAAGTGAGCAGTTGCACACTCTCTCTACAGACACTTGAGGAGCTTGTGTATGGACCTAAGGTCACTTTAGAAGGTTAAGTGAGCAGACAGGTTCAGTTTTGAACATGGAGTACTACTTACACATCACATTCTTTGATAAATGTGTTCAAGGAAGGAATTTGCATGTTAGCCAAATAATAAACCAATAAAGAAAAATAAATAAATAAATGCACCTAATTATATTTGAATTGAGAAATGGTATAACTTATATTTGTATTTCCTAAATTAAAGTTCATTCTTCAAAAGACATAATAGTGGCACTCAACCACTCATACCTACTTTACATCCAGACGTACCTTGTAATGTAGCTTTCGGTTCCAAATCTGGTACAGCTCTTGGAAAAACTCCACAGGCAAGCCTCCTTTGAACCACATTGTAGAGGTATACAGTAGATGGCTTGCAGCATGCATATGGTCATTCTGCTATAAATGTTAGTGGAAAGAGTTGTTTGAGAAGGGAATACTGAAAAATGCACTACTCCTTTACTGATTACAGACAACCAAACTAATTTTCTTTTGCACTGATTTAACAATATAATAGTGTGACTACTGAATATGTAAGTATCGTTTTCAAGTTCACATTACAGAATAGTTAAACATGCCTTGCTGACTCACCCTTTAACAATGAGTGAAAAATGTCAGTGAGGTTTTAAGCAACATCTGTTCATAATTTTAATTATAAAAAAGATTACGTACCTTTCACAGCCATTTAATTCCCTTGTTAATTGTTTAAATAAGAAAAGACATGATGTGCAAAGAGTTTAGCACATTGAGGCTTATTAATAAAATCTGCACAAAAGAAGTGTGCCTTTGTTGTCAGCAGCAGATGTAAAGTTTTAGGTGCCCATAGACATTAAATGAGAACCTTGGGGTAACCTTTTTATCTCATAGTTCTCTTTAGGGTAACAGGAGGACATATGCTAACATCCTCCCATGACCCAAAACTCAGTATATAGTGGGCTATGCTGAGAGTGCCTCAGCCGGGATGGATCCCGACCATACTGTTGAGATCCACCCGGCTGGCTGATTGACAGCTGGCTCTGCCTGTCTAGAGGCAGAGCCAGCTGTGCTCACCCTCTCCTCTCTCCGTTCCTCCAGTCGGCACTAGAGGATCGGAGGGGGTAATCCCTGCAGGGAGCGGTGACTGATAGTTTCCGCTCTCTGCAGGGCGATGGTCGGGAATTGAGCGAGCGACGGTATGTGTTCGCTCACTTCCCGATCTATAGAGTCGACGTGTGACAGTTTCAATGTCACACGTTGCCTCTAACTATGAGGATGAGTGTAAATCACTCACCTCATAGTTCTCCTTTTAAATAACATTGTACTACAGTCTATCGTCTATGGTGTGGTTATGACTGCCCGAAATCTAGTGTTAGTGGGGGACAAATCTAGCTTGGATTACTTTGCCTTATTGCCTGGGGCTGCTGTTGAAACGGTTTGCTCGCAGCTTCCCTCTGAACACGATCACTCATAAAACTAATGCACTCTTTTAAAGGGGAGATACTGGTCCAGCAGACATCGTGAGACAATCAGGTTGTTTGTGCATGTCTGACCAAAATCATATGAAAAATTGTCCTGTTGCACTCCTTACGGAATGGAAAGATACTACCCCTGTTCACCAGGGGGGTGCTTGAAGTGACCACGCATGGCCACGGATGACCATTCTGAGCCTGAGGACAGGGACCCTGTTAGGCCCTGAAAACGTTCGTATTTGAATGACATCTATGTGTCATTAAAACCATATTGCTTTATGTTGAAATGGCGTGCTGGTGACATTTTTTGAACTTCATCTCTGACCAATCTCTAAAGTATATGTCCAGTTTAAGAAAGAATCAGATTGATGTCTACAGGAGGCAACACAGATTTTCTATTTTTCCTAAGTGTGCTCCATGGCTCTCGGTGTTATGTCCATTTGAATTCCTCTGTACCTTGATAGCCTAAGTTATTAAAAGCCTTCAGTCAATTAACTAAATTACATTTCCACCAGAGTTTCCTAGCAATTAGTGTTCAATGGTGATCTCAAGCCTAACACCTGTGTCATGCAATCATGAACACTGCAGTATACTAATTGTTTTATGTAGCAGTCTCACATAGTTCCATGGTCTATCTGTATGCTTATTTTCTCAATTATTTGCCACATGCTTTTTCTGTTGTGGAGAAATTCAGGCAGAGAGAGATATTTTTTTTTGTAATGTGTGTGTTGTGGTACTCTAAGACCCCGTTCACATATAGCGACATACCTTTGCAGCGGCCGGGATAGTGCGACTTTCAGGGCGACCGTCCAGCGACGATCCAGCGACGATCCAGCGACAGTAGCGCGACCTTCTTCGTCGGGCTCCATAAAAAAAAAGCAAAATCGCGCAAAATCCGCCGAAAAAAGGGTCCGGTAGAAGCGACTTGCGACCGCGACGAGCGACGCGCGACGTGGAGTTAAGACAGCTCCATTGAATAGCATTGGCCGGCGACTTCTCGCGATATCGCGTGGCAAAAATGCGCGATATCGCGGCGGAAATCGCGCGACAATTCGCTATATGTGAACGGGGCCTAAGCTATTGTAAGATACTTATAGTTACATGCATAGTTTTCCATGCACATTCAGTACAATAAGTACACACATGGATAATAAAGTATATCTAAAGTTAAAACTTTGTTTTTCTTTTTAAATTAACTGTCAGTTTTTTCCTTAATGGGTCTCATTAGGGAGATTTGCCTTCACTTCCTGTCCCGTAGACTCCACAAGAAGTGAGATAAACCTCCTCTTAGACAGTTTGCACAGAGACAAGGGTCCTCATTAAAAGATTTTCCCTCTGTTCCTGTCCTAGTGATAACTCAAAATGTTGAATTTACCCTTACTTTCCTTCCCGGTGACATTGGTAATAAGGGCAATTATAGCAAGTGAACTTTCCTAACGGGGACACATATAGCAATAAAAACCTGACAGTGTATCTATACCCCATTCTATCCGAATCCCAAAATGCCTTTATTTATACTTTAAACTTTTTTGCAATACATCCAGATTGTGAGATACCAGCCAGATTTCTTCACGGTGACATCAGATCTGTTTTAAAAAAAAAATGTCAGTTCTGCCATGTAAACAACTAGGGTTTAGTGTACTCAGATTAGTTTGCCCTTTACATTGCTCTTTTCGGTAAGAGCAAATATCTTCCTCCATATGTCAAGTGCAGTTTATTTGATAATGCTACTAACTGTCCAATCTGGGCCACTGACAATAGAAATGCCAGCAAACGTTAGCTTCACCAAGGGTAGCAAAGACGTATTTCAGAACCCTACCATTGTCAGTTGTTAATACAAAAAGGTCATAGTTCAGTTTTTAAAAGCAATTGCATTCCCCTTGAAGCAATGATGTGTTATCTCTTAAAGAATCTGAATTAGTGTATAATTTCTATGATATACCCACAAATGGATATCAGCAGTAAAAGTACAATATTAACTTGGATGGCATCACAAAGATTATAACAATATTATGACAAGGCTAAACATTAATTTTCACTTGCCTTTTCCACATAGTTACATGTTTTCATTTTATTTATTTTTAGGGTGCTAATGCCTTAGTAACATACACTATTATCAGTGGTGCTGACGACAGTTTCCGCATTGACCCAGAGTCTGGAGATCTGATTGCCACCAGGCGCCTAGACAGAGAGCGTCGTTCCAAGTATTCCCTCCTGGTTAGGGCTGATGATGGCCTCCAATCCTCAGATATGAGAATAAATATTACAATAAGTGATGTCAACGATCACATACCCAAGTTCACCAGATCTGTTTACTCATTTGATGTGACAGAAGACACTATGCCAGGTAAGTTAAATGTAATATTACCATGTTGCCCAGGCATGCTCTATAACTTGTAACTGAACATGTCACTTTCTGGAAGAATGTCTCACTTATTTAATTGCATTTAATTCATATTCTTGATTTCAGTGTAATAGGCTTTTTTGGAGAATTAGTTTGTCACTGCCACAGTTTTATTTGAAAGCTTCTACAGTCGTATCATTTGTATTCACTGCAAGTCACTTATAAATAACCATTTAAAGAGAAACTCCACAATGCAATAAATAATCCATAACTTACAGCCCTGAGATATCTGTTTTCACCATAGTGTCAACTAGGCAGTATTCAGTGCTGGTGCTTTATGTTCCAGGCAAGATAAGTGTGCCAGTGTAGGGGTTAGTTTAGTGTTAGGCATTAGATTTAGGTTTAGTTTAGTGTAGGGGTGACGAGTATAGGGGATTAAGGGTAAAGTTTAAAGGGGTTATGTGATCATTTTCAGTTAGGATGAAGGGTAAAGAACAACATTAAAGGTTAGATTAACTGTAAAGTGAGCATGAAGGCTAAGTTGTGGGGTTAGGTTCAGTTAAAGTTTGCATTTTAGGAGAGAGATTTAGAGGTAAGGTTTAATTTTAGCCGTTAGATTAAGCATTAGGGTTCAGGTTGGGTAGAGATGTTTAGGTTCAGAGAGAAGGATGGTAGGGTGTTAATTACACTCATCTCTGTACTTGTGATACTCCTGGTTCTGGAGCACCTCCAGTTACTGTTTCTCACATATTGAACTTGATGGGGAGGCAGTCAAGCATGTAGCATTTGGTTAAGTACAGTGCCACTGGGGTTTCTCTTATGACAGGTTACCTTTAACCCGTGAACGAGAATTTTAAGGCTGCCATAAACATTTTTCATACATCACTCCTCGTTTTGTAGATCTGTACACTACAGAGTCAGTTTTAAGATCTAGTAGGGAAAGTGATTAGTAACGTATCTTATTTTACCATGTACTATTTATTCTTATTTTTAATTGTGAGTACTTTAAATTGCATTCAACAGGCTCTATTGTAGCTGCAATCCTGGCCACAGATGATGACTCTGGAATTAACGGAGAGATCACATATACTGTTAATGATGACGATGAAGATGGCATGTTCTTCCTGAACCCTGTAACTGGAGTTTTTAATGTCACCCGTGCACTAGATTACGAAATACAGCAGTATTATATACTAACAGTGTGTGCTGCAGATGGAGGAGGTCAGTCCTCATGTGTCAGGGTCTATTTCAACATTCTGGATATCAATGACAACCCTCCTATCTTCAGTATGAGCTCCTACAGCACTTCTGTAATGGAGAATTTGCCATATGGATCAACAATTCTTATATTCAATGTGACCGATGCAGATGAAGGTATGTCTTACCTGTCATGATTTAATTTCAGTTTATTCATTTAAAGGAGAACTTAGCTCGGATTTGAGAAACAGGATGGATTTTTATTACAGAAGAGAAATGCTAAGGGATTGATCTACTAAGGGCAGATAGGCTGTTAACTTTTCAAGAGAATTTTCACTTTTCAGGGGACTTTTCACAATGAGCTGTAATATTTCTAAAGCTGAATTGGATAACATACAGTATGTAGCTACTTCAAAGCAGACCTTTAAACACCAATTTAACTGTCACCCAAAACAGTTACTTTTAAAGCATGCCAACTCTCAAGGTTGCCAGAGTGCTTATTTCTGCTCTCAACAAAACTTCCAAGCCCTCAAATGGCTGGTGTCATAGCTGATCACAGGTGCAGCAAACATAACACCTCCAATCCAAAAAGAGGCTAAGATGGCACCTCCCTTGGGTGTAAGGGATAGGAGAGTGTAACTCAGCTTTAGGTTCAGATGATATTTTATATCTGTGTAGCAGTACTATAAATCGATGCTGTATTTTAAAATATATGTACAAAACTGAACATTAAAAGCCCACAGTAGCTCATTTATGATACCTGGGGCTGTTGCCCATAGCAACTAATAAGCTGATTCATTACTGATTGGAGTCAGTATTGCTGCTCCTATTTGCAGTGCATGTGTGCTCAGAATTAATGCTCTTTATGTTGCACGGTTTGCCCACACATGTGCATTGCCCTACATTATTTCTTCCTCAAGCTATTAGTCACAAAAGTTATCCTCTCAGAAATACAAGCTGTAGCTAACTTCCTCCAATGGGCTGACAATGAAGACACAGAAATATAAAACAGCCTTACGAGTTTTGTTTCCTCTGGCCAAACATTTATTTATGAAGATTCAAAGGAAAAGACTGACTGCTCTCTGAAGCAATTTCTGGCAAGTTTATTCATCTGGACAACATGAACAGAGAGTCCTTGCCTAGGATCTCCCCTCCTGGGACATTCCCCTGATGTGTTTTATATATATAGTTTATTTATTTCTTCTTATCTTTTCCTCACATTTACCATTAAGTCCAGCCTTGTGAGTGAAACACGTCAAAGGAGGAGGTCACGGATGGGAACCCTCTGTTCATTTTGTCTGGATGAATAAAATTACCATCCTTTTAATGTCCTTCAGTGTGCAGCTGGCCATTTCTGATGGATTTGCACTGTCTGTGGTGCATAGAGGGAGTGCATGCAGAGGTTTAGCACCTGATCTTTACTTTTTCTTTTGAAATTGTTTAAGAGAATTTCAATCTACTTTCAGGTTGTTGTTTTTTTGTGTGTAAAGATTAGGCATGCATTTGCAGGAACATAAGACTATCTGGAGTTATTTATATCAGGGTTATTCACAAAAGGGTGAAGAGTTTGGAGACGGAAGGAGAAGTGAACAATCTAGGACAACATAGGTGAACTGGAAAGTGAGCTGAATTGGAAATTTTTTCCATATCAGCTATGTTGTCCTAGTTTGTTCACCTCTCCTGCCTTCTCCAATCTCTTCACCCTTTTGTGAATATCCCTGTATGTCTTGTTCAATTCTTGGACACCAGTTCTATATTTTCTATCAAGTGATTCTAATTATCATTAAAAAATGACAATGATGTTACGTTTTGGAAGTTTGCATGTTGTGTCTTTACAGCAGTAATATCTGCGCTGTATTGTTTATAATTATATTATCGCTGTAGCTTCCTGCATATTGTACTTCCACATTGAGTGCTGCTCCCTTCCCATCTACGGCAGAGCATGATTAATGTTTGCAGGAATCTGCACAAAGGAGCTGTCTGCTGTTCAGGAAGTTTCCACAAATACCAATCATGAATATTTACAACAATGACACTGCTTTAAATCCATTCAAAGAAAACCCTTACAGCAACTAATAGTACTAAGGCTTAACAAATCAGCGGTCACGTCGAACGCTTCCAGGAATCAGCTTCTTTTTTTTTATACCTATATTTCAGTGATGTCTAGTAGCTTATGCTATAGGTCAGGTTTTATGTGTCACTTTTATCTCTTTCAATTTTACAGTCTGTATATGCTTAGTGCCACAGGGACAAAAATTCTTTATTTGGTCAGTGAGGGACATGGATGGCAGAGTTAGGTGAGTATAAAGACCTGTGTTGACAGGCTTCAGGCTTGAGCCAATGGCTTTAGTTTGACACCTGTTTAAGATGTTTCTGAGGTTTTTCAGAGTTCATTGACAGCTGAATTTGACTTGCAGTTGCCCTCATGCTGACCTGCATTTAACCTTTTCTAAACAGGTTGTGTATTATGTATAATCCCATCAGTGCCAGATTCAACACATTTTAGGGGTAAAAGAGCAATCAACTTCAACAAGTCGGCAACACCTTGACAGTCAGGGTAACTGGAGATCTAGTAGATGGTCACAGCAGCAAGAGCAGGCTGTTTGATTGCTCTTGCTGCTGTGACAGCAGACTCAGGGCAAATTACCAAGCTGCCCGCTCGGTTAAAATTACACCATCACTTTGATGGTTATCATGTGACAGCCTAGGGGATATCTTATTGGTCAACTGATTTATGTGACCGAACACCACTTAAGATATCTGACACTCAGGGTGAGAGGGCTGCAAGGTTCTGATGAAGGGGTTGTGTCCCTGGAAATGCATAAACCGAAGCTGATTTGCAGTTTGAAGGAACTTTGCTCCGGTCGGCATAGTTCAAGCTGTGCTGTTTAATGTTTTGCCAGTGCTGGTCAGACTTCTTGTACCAAGGCTCTCTATTGATTGCTGGTTTGTGAGTACATATCTTGCCTTTTTATCTTTTAGCTAATAAAAACTTTTACACAAGGGAGGCGCACTGTATTTGTGTTCCCTGTCTACTAGATCTCCAGTTACCCTGACTGTCAAGGTGCTGCCAACTTGTTGAAGCTGATTGCTCTTTTACACCTAAGATGTTTTGAATGTGTTGGTATCTGATTTATGTGACCGTACACTGGCTCCCCCTGATTGGACACAACTTAAGATATCTGGCACTCAGGGTGAGAGGGCTGCGAGGTTCTGACAAAGGGGCGTGTCCCCGGAAGCGTGTAAACCGAAGCTGATATTCAGTTTGAAAGAACTTTGCTTCAGTCTGCATAGTTTAAGCAGTGCCGTTTAATGTTTTGCCAGTGCTGATGAGACTTCTTGCACCAAGGCTCTCTTGTATTCTTTTAGACTTATATGGGAATGTAAAACCCATTTGAAGTGAACAAAAACCTGTTGAGGGGCTCCAAGTGCCATCACAGAATAATTCCAAGGGTTTGCTACAAACAGTTCGGAAGCCGAGTATGTTGGGCCCTTTGGAGTGGGTTATACTGGAGGGTCTACTAAAACATACTAAGAGAAATGTCATAACTCAATCCACACACCTCCTAAGTATAGGTTATTGCTGCAAGAGGTCTAGGATGGTATCCACTGTTTTGCAGGAAGCAATGTTTAGATAGATGTACTTCCTCCACTCTTGGTATCTTATTGGTATGATTGTGCCACACATTATAAGCACAAGTTATACCTCGCTATTGAATGTTTTCTCAAAATATATCCTGCATTGACAGTGCTGGCAGATGCCAGATGAGCTATTGTGACCAGTTACATTTTTGGGTCAGTGATAGCTCCCGTGGGCTGATCAGCCTTAGACAACCCTTGTTACAGTAGGAGGTTTCACTGCTGCAGCATATACTCCTGTATTTGGCCCACAACTAAGTCAGTCCTTTAAAATCCTTGCATAAATATGTTATTGCCCTAACACATTTAGAAAAGTTAGATGAAATGCATAAATGTATGCAGATTAGAGTAGCATTGGATTTCTTTTCCGACACTTCAGGAGACATGAGTGAGGCACTGCATTAGCACCAAAATAAGCAAATACAGCATTCATCTTTCAGGCTTTTTAGCAAGAGCTTGGAAATGAGATGTTATGGTATCCCAATTGCAGTTACCTATAGCAACCAGAAAATCTGATTTCATACCATTGTTATTGTAATGTGACTTATATTTTGAGCTCCGATTATTTGTTAATTGATAAAATGGTTTTTATAATCTTTTATTATTTTTGCCCTGTCTTATTTGACAAGTCTCTAAGATTTAATAACTGACAAATTATGTTTGCACAGCACTTTTAGCAGATATGATCATTTTCTTTCCTTAAGCTTGCTCCTGCATTGTGGAAATGTCTCTTGTTTGTGCTCTCTCCCACTCTTATTGCTCAAAATAATGATCACTCAAACCTTTTGCCCCTCTATATACATTTCTGACCAGCCCCCAGTTTTTTCCTGTGCATGCATTTCAAGGTTTATCTTAAATTTCTGAATTAACTGTACTCCTACTGCTAAAAATATATTTAAAAAAATGAAACTGCTGATCTCATACTCGGAATTTAAAAAGGAGCAGAGCATAGTGAATACAAGAAGATTACGTAGGGTGGCGTTTATAAAACTTTGTCAGACTAAAAATGGGACAAGTTAAAAGTGAAAAACATATAATATATATCCTATCTATCTATCTATCTATCTATCTATCTATCTATCTATCTATCTATCTATCGAGTCAAAGCACTGAACCTTCCTTTTTACATAGGGGATGCTTTAGAAATCATCTGTCATGCCATACGCAATCAAAATGTTGTTCACATGGCATTCTCACAACTAGATGGAGCTGAGCTGAGGAGCATGGGACATTCCTAGTCTTCTAGTCTAGTTAAGGTGTTTGTCTTCCTGCTCATTTCCTACTTCCTGGACCACAGCCAATGAAAAGCTAAGGATTATGAGGCTGGTGGGTTTAAATGGGGCTGATGTTTACTGTAACACATTAGGAAAGGATACTAAACTATTGGAATAAGCTATCATGTTTAACAGATGACGAATCTTTCTCTTGCTCTGACCTTATGGTTAAAGAGTGTAGAATGCCTATATAATGCCTAAGAAACTATGACCGTTGTATATCTTTCAATGTGTTAAACATATGACCACATGCAATAATTATTT